TAATCGCCCACTGCCTCGCTAAAAGGAACCTAATGGATCGTACACCGTGTAAGGTAGAGATTGAAGAAACAATGGAGATGAGTAAGAATAATTAAATGGTTTAATTATTTATGGCAAGGATTAATTAATATGTTAATTAATCAAACGAATAAGTTCGTTAAAAGACCACGGGTTAGTTTTGGGCCTCAAGGCCCAATGGGCTTCGAACGTCAAGCCCATTGACTTAAGTTGTATGACAACTTAATGACAAATAATTCACAAAGGCCTTAAAAGCCCAATGAAACCCTATGGCCGGCCATTTAGTTAAAGGAGTGGGTTTTGGACTTAATTACAAGTTTGCCACTCAAATGAATGTAGGTATAAATATGACTTTATAGCCAAAATTCATTTAGGGTTTTCTTTTGAGAAAATTGGAGAGAACACAAAGCTCTCCTTTCTCTCTAAAGAGGCCGGCCACCCTTGGAGGGATTAGCTAGTAATTTTTCTCCTCCAAGGTCACTCATATCTTCTTCACATCTTACCTTGGTGTGGAGACTTAGAGGTTCTCCATTTTGAGAACTTGGAGAAACATATTCTTCCATCCAAATCCATGGATCTAAGAAGCAAGGAATGAAGGCCCTCTCCTTGGGTGATTAGCCTTTGCTTATGCAAAGAGGAATCTACAAAGGTATAAATTTCTTAACTCACTTTGATTTGAGTTGAGTCTTGGTTCACCAATCTACTAGGCTTTAAATTTCATGGTTAATGTTTTGTTTTTAAGTGCATACAAGCATGATTCCGCCTTTTAATTGTTAATTGCATGCTATAGATGTTGCTTAAATGAACATGTTTTTCACAATATTTCCTTCAGCAAATTGGGCAGATTATGGAGTTCATGGCACAAATTCAAGAGCAAAGTGAACTCTCCAACTCAACTATTGAAAATTTGAAGGAAGATTTTGAAATCCATGATGCTGTCACTTTGGGAAGTGCTATGGAGGTTAAAGGTGAACTGAAGACATCCAAACCAAGCCAAAACATGGATGAACAGCTGCTGCTCAAAGAAGAGGAGAATAGCAAGGCCACGGCAAGGGAAGAACCACCCTTGCCGCAGCCTTATATGCCATCTATGCCGTCCACTACAACCAAGGTAAGCCTAAATTCAATTTGTCCTGACCCCGTTTCACCAAATGTCCTTATTGCTTGCAGGATCATGCAATCCATGGAAGAAAAAGGTGAGAAAGGCATCTTCGAAACCGTTCCAAAGAATCAAGAGCAAGAAGCAGATGGGGAATGTCTAGAATTCATCAAAGAAGATACACTTGAGACGAAAATTCCCAAAGAAGTTGGATTTTATGACACGGGACAAGTCATAACTCTCAAAACACCAAATCTGGCCAAGTCCCATATCCCTGCAACCTTCAAAGATGTGGTGTTCGTAATTGAGTTTGTGTTGGAGCAACCAAGTAAGCCATCTTCTCCAACTTCGATTTTAGTATATACTAACTTGCTGATTTTGATGATTCAGGCACCTACACTAGAATTTAAACCATTGCCGGATCACGTCAAGTATCACCATCCATTCAAGGATCAATTCCATGCTATGGGCCCTATCCAAGTTTAGAAGGAAGTATCGTCCGGTTGGAAGACGTTAAAGCAAGCGCTTCTTGGGAGGCAACCGATGTATTCAAATAAGGAAGATTTTTGAATTGCTCCACAATCAGTTTTACGTTTCTAAAAACCTTCCCTTTTCTGTAGTTTTATTTTGCCATGATTGTCATTTTTATTTGTTGCTTGTTTAATTGTTTTTCGTGTGGGTTTATTTTTGAAACACTGACACTTATGCAAGGTATTTTTACATTCATAAAAAAGAAAGGAACATTAAGCAGATAAATACAAGAGGGAGCCTTCACAAAGGCTGCTTAGGAGAAGTCTCAGTAGTCAGCGGAGCCTCAACAGTCGACGGAGCCCCAGAAGGAGGAGGCATTGGAGGTTGATCATTTGGAGCTTCATTACGCAGTACAGCCCCACCAGACAAAGGCAAATGCTGTTGGAACAAACCCACAAACCTCTGATGATCAAGTAAAATCTGACCATCAGATTCCTGCATCTGGTCAATCTTCCTCTTCATGTTTGTAGCATAGTTATGTGTGAGCCTATGCAACTGTTTATTCTCATGCTTAAGCCCTCTAATGATTCATATAGGGGACTTTTAGAGAATGATTTGGGTTGTCGCATGCATTCATATAGGGGACTTTAGAGAATGATTTGGGTTGTCGCATGCATTCATCCAATTCAATGAGTAAAGGAAAATCTGAGGGTTAATTTGTGCATCACGGTTAATCTGGGGTATTGAGCATCATGGTTTATTGAAAAGCAATTGGAGATTGATTTGTATGAAAGTGTGTCATGTGTGGAGAAAGACTTTCTAGCTAGCCCATCATCCATCCAAAACAACCAATTTCGTGCAAATCTGTTTAGTTCTAGTTTCTATTTTGTTTTAGTTTATTTTCGTCCAAAACCCAATCCCCCTTTACTTTAGTGTGTCTAATTAGTTAGAATCTATTTTAGTTTGTGTTTTAAGTGTTTTTAAGTTTCTTTTTGTAAGTCAATTTAGTTTAGATTAGCAATCCCTCCTAATCCCCGGTCCAGAACGATCCCTACTTATACATATACTACAATTGTCAAAAGAGGGTTTAATTTGAGTGCTTAACTCTCATCGCATCACTCTAGCATCAAATTCATGTATGCAAATTAAGTGTCGACCCTCAGTCTACATACATAAACAAGTTTTGATAACTCAGATAATCAAATCATATTCAAGACTCAAGAAACAATAACTAGACGTCATCAGTTCATTTAAAACATATAATCATGGCTTCGAATTCACCTCCAACTATAAAGAAATTAGTTCCTCATGTCTTTGAAAACATAAAACCAAATTAAAACAAACATTGAACTAAAACTAAGGATAAAAAGAACCCAGAAATGCTCCAGCACTCCAAAGATTGAATGGCAAGTCACGGCTCCAACTTTCTCTCTTCCTTCCTTGATGCGTCACAATGGTATCTTTCTCTGAATTTAGGCTCTTGTATGTGTGGGTGGTGTGGTGATTCGATGGTAGAGGGTGGTGATGAATTTACGCGACATAAATATATATTTATAGCTAGGGTTATGCACAACTTCTGAAGGGAAAAAGATTGCACAATCCTAGGGGGAAAGGTTAGGGTTTGGCAGAAACCAAGGGGAAAAAGAATTACACATCAAAAACCATCAGGAACAAGGATATAGGGTGCAACACAAACTAGGAAAAGGGGTTCTAGAAAGGCTAAGGTGCAACACCAAAATAGGGTTCTAGAAGGAACATGTTGTGTCAGGTTTCTAGAAGGAACACAAGGTCTTCTAGAAAGGAATGAGGCGCCACCTTTGTAGGAGAGGATTAAGTCCTCTAGAAATTAGGTTTACATGTCCTAATATGAAAAGAATTCCCCCTTGCAGCTGGAATCAAGGTAGAAAAGGGATAGGATAAGGTAAAGATAGGATAAGATAAAGTTGGTTTGGATAATGTTTTGGATAATGTTCCATGTTTCTTGCTCTTTCCTTATCTTCTTTGTCTTGAACTAGTTTCTCCAGATTTGTAGCATGTTCCTAGCATCTTTTGGTCTTCAATTTCATCCATCCACCTTGCTCCATGCACATGTTATCCATTCCAAGCCCAAAACTGCTCTAAAATGCACCAAAATGCACTTTCTTGCCAACTTTGTTATTTGGACCTGAAAACACACGAAAATAGCTTAAATCACTATAATAAATATAAACTAACTGCGTAAATGCAAGAAAACAAGCTAACTAAGTTGCATAAATATGCTCCTATCAACGGTTCGTAAAAAGAAATTAAATTTGAGCAAGTTATATCATCATTTAAAATTTATGGGGAAAATGGTTTCAATTCATTATTGATGAGAATCAAATCTAACACCTCACACTTATATGTGAACAAAAATACTACTCCACCAAACCATGTGCAACTCCAAACAGTTCGTAAAATGAAATTAAATTTGAGCAAGTTATATCATCATTTAAATTTTATGGGGAAAATGGTTTCAATTCATTATTGATGAGAATCAAATCTTACACCTCACACTTATATGTGAACATAAATACTACTCCACCATAGTATTAACTATTAAGTGGCAAGGGACACTTACAATTTTTTACTTAAGTTTGAATCCTCCTCATATAAGTTAAGAGCTCATTTAGAACTGCTTAAAATAACTGAAAGTTTTTTTTTTTTTAAAGTGCATTTTGGACGCTTGAGGATATGTTGAGGTTTTCAGTTCTTCAATACCTTTGATAGAGTTTGCCTACAACAACAATTATCACTAGAGTATTGGTATGTCACTATTCGAGGTTTTGTATGGCAAACCGTGCCAAATACCATTGTGTTGGATCAAAGGTCGGAGAGAGAACTTTAGAAGGTTCAGAGTTGATGGACAAGACGACTCAGAACATACAAGTGATCATGAGAAAATACAAAGTTGTACATGATCGACAGAAGAGCATTGCAGACAAACATTCGGCCGATCAAGTGTACATTGTGGGAGATTGGATGTTCTTGAAGCTATCACCGTGTAGAGGTGTTGTTCGTTTTGAAAGAGAGAAAAGCTATAAAGAAAGAAAAGCTAAGTCCCCACTACATTGGTCTGTGTCAAATCATCAAACGAGTTAGAGGGGTTCATCACACACTTGACCACATTTATACACATCAATTACATGTTATGACTTCATTACCTTTCATGTATCAATCAGCATACCTCAATTTTGATGACCACGTAGATATCGGGGTCGGAGTGTGTCAGATAACTTGCATTTTTACAAAAGATTTTTTGTTAATTCATTTTCATCAAAAATGTTTTCAACATTTTAAAAGCACTTTCAACCAGCCTAAACTAGTTTTAAATTTCGCTGTCTAGAAAAGAAACTGGCCTACCCAATCAAACCGAATCAGTCTTGGACTGGTTTGGCTTGCTTCAATTGTGACCATTCTTGTGCAAAACCAAATGGAACAAAGCCGTTTAACGGTTCGGGTTTCGGGAGGAACGGCCGAGTTATGCCCACACACGCTACAACCCTAATTTCATCTCCGGAGCCGGGAGAAATATTAAAAATGGCAAACCCGACCGGCACTTGCCTTTCCTAAACATAATTCCCTTTTGTACTTTCCCACTCACCTTAATGCTCTCTCGCAATAGAACCAAACATGGAGGACCTCTTATCCATTCGTCACTTCTCTTCAAACTCGTCACACATTTTTCTCCATTTTCTTCCAAACCCAATTCAAATTTCGCAACCCAGAATCAAATCGCTACAATCCCAAAAAAATTCACCACAAGAAGATCAATTCCACTCCCTGCAACAGTCCCACAAGCTCCAGACGCAGTAAGTTCTTCAATTGTCAGCTCAGTATGTTCTTTGCTCTCTAAAGATACCAATGAAAGCACAAGTATTGATATTTTGTTGAAAAAATTAAAAAAGAAGTTGAGTTCAGAACTTGTGCTGCAAATTTTGATGAATTATAAGCAATTGGGTAGGAGCAAGGCATTGGATTTCTTCTCTTGGGCTGGATTTCAGATGGGTTTTCGGTTCGATGACTGTGTGGTTGAGTACATGGCTGATTTCTTAGGTAGGAGGAAGCTTTTTGATGATATGAAGTGTCTTCTGTTGACTGTGTCCTCCCACAAGGGTCGAGTTTCATGTCGAGCTGTGTCCATTTGCATTAGGTTTCTGGGTAGGCAGGGGAGGATTAGAGAAGCCCTTTGTACGTTTGAAGAAATGGAATCAAAATTTGGTTGTAAACCTGATAATCTTGTGTACAATAATGTGCTCTACGTGCTTTGTAAGAAGGAATCGTCTGGCCATTTAATTGACTTTGCGCTTGCAGTTTTTCGGAGAATTGAATCACCTGATACTTATTCGTACGGTAATATTCTTGTTGGTTTATGTAAGTTTGGTAGATTTGAGACTGCCATTGAAGTTTTTGGTGATATGTGTAAGTCTGGTGTGGTTCCTACTCGGTCTGCAGTGAATGCTCTTATTGGAGAGTTGTGTTCATTCAGTGCGAAAGAAGGAGCTGTTGGGAAAGTAAGAGTGAGAAATTCTTGTAGAAACTTTACGATTTTAGTTCCAAAAGTGGGTGGAAACAGTGATGCTATACAGCCTGCAGTTGGAATTTTTTGGGCAGTGTATAAAGTGGGATTATTACCCAGTACATTTGCCATAATCCAGCTTCTTTCGGGGCTTTGTCAACTGGGAAAAGTGGAAGAGGCTGTTGAGATTTTGAAGGCTGTTGAGGGTAAGAAGCTGAGCTGTGTTGGAGAGGGCTACTGTATTGTGATGAAGGCTTTGTGTTCACACGGTCACGTTGAGATAACTAGCCATATGTTTGGGAGGATGCTATCCCAAGGCATGAAACCAAAGTTGGCTGTTTATAATTCAATTATATGCATGCTGTGTAAACTAGGGAATTTGGATGATGCTGGAAGTGTCTTTAAGATGATGAACAAGAATAGATGTCTTCCGGATAGTATGACATATTCTGCGTTAATCCATGCTTATGGTGGAGCTAAAAATTGGGAAGCTTCTTATGGCTTATTGATAGAAATGCTTGGGTTGGGCTACTCTCCACATTTTCATACTTATAGATTAGTGGACAAAATTTTGAGGGAAAACGGGCAGATGGATACGTGTCTTAAGTTGGAAAGGAAGTTGGAAACACAGATGTTGCAGAAGCTCTGTAAAGATGGCCAGTTAGAGGCTGCACATGAGAAGCTAAAATCAATGATTGGAAAGGGGTTTCACCCACCAGCATACGTGAGACATTCTTTTGAGAATGCGTTCCGGAGGTATGGAAAATTGAAAATAGCTCAGGAATTGCTGCGGACGACAAGTGAAACTGACAGAACTTAGCTGTTAATGACCTATTAAGAAGTATTTTCCTCCATCACCTGTAGAGTTCTGAGTTCTAACCAATTTCCCTTTACATTCTGGCCATATATTTTTTGCTAATTATCCGATGATAATTTAATTATTTATCTATTTCTTTTATAGTTCCTTACATCTGTCTCTGTATACTTTGATTAATTTCCTGAAATGTTGAGTTTCATTCGAAGGTATACCATATACAGAATTATGTTATCCTATTTTATATAATCAGGGGAAAGATTAGATTCTTGGCTTTAGATTCTTGGCTTGTTTGCTGACTAGAGGCTAATTTTTGTCACCATCCATTAAAAACCCGTAGATATTTCAAGGTCATACTTAGTAGTTTTTGTTAGAGCTCGATCTCACGAATGCATAGGCGAAAACCATTCGGGAATCGGAATTGTAATGAAGGAGAAATAAGCGAGCAGAATCAGGTGCAATTTAGTCATTTAGACATTCTATAAATAGAAGACCCCAAATTCTTGTAGCAGCCTTCCATTTGTAGAACTGGACCCGTGCGACCCGGATTTCCTCCCTCAACCCAATGCAACAACCCGTTTTCTGGGCAAAAATTCTGACGGCTTTTCCAGCTGACTCCGGTGACTTCAGACGTTGCCACCACATGGAAAAGATTCCCCTCCTCCCAAGTTCATTTTCCACCCAAGATTCTCTCCGTTCGTCATTTGGACCTTTATTTATGGAGAATTTCAATGGACAACCTCCCTGCAAATGCACTCTTAGAGGTCTTAGTGGAGAATCGTGGACAGTAGGTTTGGAAGAGAGGAGATGAAAAGTTCTTCCTCAAGGATTCGAATCATTTTGTGAAGATCATCTCTTGGAAATATGAACTTTCTTGGTTTTTGAGTATAATGGCGACTGAAAGTTTGATGTCACCATCTGTCATCCAACTAGCTGTGAAAAAGAGCTAAGAAGCAGTAGCTGGCAAGAGGAGAACTGGAAATGAAGCTACTATTCCTAACCGAAAGAAACGTAAGTTATACAAGTTTTGTATAATGATATATATTTTCTCTACAGCCTACAGGCATGCTTTTTTCATTACTTCATATCGTGTCATGTTTCTGTTTGGGCTCATCGTCTTGGATGTGGTATTTTCTTACGGGCATGTTATACAAGCTGCTGATGTGAAACAAACATTAGATGGACTCATCTTGTTCGAATCCAAGTATATATATACTTGCTTCGAAGGAATTGTGCCGAAGAACCATTATCGAATGGTGAGTACCCAACTTGTAAGTGAATTATTGTGGAGCTAAATATAATCAAGAAAATTATGGAGGCGAAATGTGGATTTTTGGATTAAAAAGACAAAATTACCCTCGAGGCAGACCAAGATTCCCCCGTGCATGCAACGAACAATAACAGCTCAGCTCAATCAATGAAGAGTCAAAGATGATCAAAATGGTATTTATTCAAAATCCTCTCATCACTCCTCATCAAATCTTCACTCAAAAGGTAACTCCCAATTATTCTATTTAAATTAGGATTGATTACCATGTTAATTGCAAGATATTATTTCACATAATATCTTGCAATTAACCTCATAAAACCACCATAAGTTACCGGTCACTATTCTCCAAATAGGGTTGGCCACACCCCTATATATAGTCTCATCTCTCCACCAAAAAGTTAAGTTCATTCTCTCCCTAAAATTCCCTTAAACACTTTCTCTCTCAAATTCTAACTTTGGCATCGGAGATTCTTCGACCAAAGCCCCACCTCCCCAATTCATCGTGGGCACATGAGGCTCTTAGCTTTGATCTTAGGTGTTATTATTTTGCAGGTGCATTTTCGTCAAAAGATAAGACGATGGAACTTTGCATCCACAAATTGGTGCTTTCATTGAGTGTCTTGATTCACACGCTCGAAGAAAACTCTCGCATTCAAAGTTTCTCATTTCTTGTTCATTTGTAGATTTGGACCACGGCGATCCACAAGGCTCAACGTAACAACGAGTGGAGTGGCACCACCTCTAAGGGCACCATCATGGTAGCAACCATGACAGCGATCCTCAGTGAGCCAACTGCCCACGGTGAGCAAGCCACGTCGCAGCAGCAGGCCCAAGCCCGTGCCATAAGGCAGCCAGCCCAAATTCAACAAGACCAAGCAGCTACGACAATTGGAGCAGCCCAGACCTCACGGACCCAAGGCCAGCGTGAGCCCAGTGCGCTCCAAGGTCGAGCCCAAGACAAGCGGTACCAAGCTGCGTCACTCCAACCCACAAGGGCCCAAGCTTAAGGCGAGCCAGCCTGAGCTGCAACCCAGCACAAGCCCAGCATGTTCCCGAGCCAAGCCCAGGCCTAACACCTACGTGTGCCGCATACGTAGCAGCCCATTATCGTGGCCTTCCAAGCAATCCAAATCAGTCCAAGATTGGTTCAACTGCCTTGGCTTTAAATTTCTGGACCAACGATTGAACCGGGGGTATTTTCACCTCATTTTTCCGTAGATTTGATACTTCCACTACTCAAGGAGACGCATACCATCCAAGCTCTTCTAACCCAAATTGCAAACCACACCTATCTCGACAAGTCATAGAGTTGACAAGCGCCATCATACAGTAGACAACATGAGCAACCTTCCAAGCAAAATGTTCATTTCCGGCTAGGCCCGTAAGTAGCATCATCCACCTCGCATTAGAGTAGGCAACACAACGAACGAAGAGAAGCAGTCACTCAATTCGGCTCAAGTTCAATCAGCAATCTGCGAGAAATTCGCTCGCCTGCTAAGAATGTACCACTTACATCGCAGCCGTGACATAAACGAGCCGAGCACATAGAAAAGTAGCCTAGACCAGCAGGTCACGACCAGGGACAGCCAAGAGCTCTGCTACCCAAACAAAGGTAAATTTAGGAAGAAGTAGATAGGCTCCTAATGGAGTGATTGCGCGATTTCTAACACAACAAGGTCACTGACAAGGCATTACGAATGGACATGACCAACATAAGCCGATCACCTTTCACAGACGAGATCGAGCAGGCAAAACCTCCATGCCAATTCAGCATGCCACATTTCACATCCTTCAAAGGAGATAGAGACCCAGAGAGACTTGAAGCACTACTGAAGCATAATTGTCCTTTATCGCAACAATGATGTTCTTATGTACAAGATATTCCCCACCACTTAACAAGGTAAGGTGCAGGATTGGTTCTATACCTTGCCGCCACAATCCATCCAGAATTTCGATGAGCTTTCTTTTGTTTTCACCAAAGAGTATTCATCATATCGCTTGATCAAGAAGAAGTCTGACCACTTGTTCAATGTGAAGAATAACCTAAAAGAGTCGTTTTGCGACTATGTGAAGAGGTTCAAAGTAGAGAAGGCAAAGATAGTCGGATGTGACGACTCGATAGCTAGTGCAGCCTTCCAAAAAGGACTCCAAGCAAACCACCTGTTGTTTGGAGAATGGATCATGAAAGAAGATATAACTCTGGTAGATTATTTCGCTCTGGCAAAGAAGCATGCACTTTGGGACAAGGGTCAGTGAGAAGACAAGGTGCAAGAGCAGCCTAAAAAAGAATCTACAGTAGCTCAAAAGAAAAAGGATGGGAAACAGTACAACAACAAAAGCAGGCAGGAGCCCAAGCGTAGGGACCCATCTACGACTAAAGAAGCCTCGACGCCCAAGAACTACTCTAAGTTCTCGATCTCGATCTACCAAATCCTTCGCAACATCAAGAGCGAACCATGGTTCAAGCTGCCAAAGCAATCAAAGGGAGACACTTCCAGTACTTCGTGTGGTCTAACTAGCCCACGCTATAGTCAACAGAATGATGGTTGACAATAGAAGTGCAGTCAACCTACTTCAGCTCTTAGTAATTCAGAAGATTTGCCTGGAAAGAACAATCATACGTCAAGCGAAGATACTCACCAAATTCAATGAACACACCTCTACTGCCATCAGCAACTTTACACTTGACGTTAGAACACCGCCAGTTGTCTCAAAGTAGATGTTCACGATAGTAAGCGACCCGTCTCTTTATAATGGGATTCTAAGGCGACCTTGGCTGATAAAGCTGGACGCCGTAACCTCCGTCAAGTATCAAAAAATTCGATTCCATATCCTGGAAGGAGGAGTTGGAGAAATCAAGTCTGACCAAGCCACATCTCGACAATGCACTATGCAAGAAAGGAATAAAAAAAGAAGACCTTTACCCCCGTAGAGGCTACCAAGGTCTGAAGGGACGACGAAGCTACCAAATAGAAATTATGGCAGACTGATCAAGAAAATGACATCCAAATCAACGCGCAAACACACAAGACAGGATGGAAACCCGAAGAGGACGCCGAGCACATCATTCTTGATCCCTAGCAGCCGGAGAAGACTGCTAGAATCAGTTCACGTCTGAGCCTGAAGGAAAATGAGGAACTCATGGCTTTCCTTAGGGAAAATTATGACGTCTTTGCACGGTCACCTTCCGACATGCCTGGCATCGACCCCAAGATAGCTTGCCACAAGTTACACCTCGACCCTGTTGCCAAACTGGTGATCCAAAAGAAAAGACATTTTCCATAAGAGGTAGCATACTCAACATGGCTTGCCAACGTCGTGCTAGTAATGAAGAAAAAGAAAGGCAAATGGAGGGTTTGAGTAGACTACACTAACCTCAACAAAACATGCCCAAAGGATCCTTATCTAGTTCCCCGAATTGATCTGCTAGTAGATTCAACTTCCGAGAACTAGCTGGTCAGTTTCTTGGATGCATACTTTGGCTACAACCAAATATCCATGCACGAGCCTAACAAGGAGAAAACAACATTCATGATCGAGCGAGGCACCTACTGTTACAAGGTCATGCCTTTTGGCCTCAAGAGTGCAGGAGCCACTTACCAACGACCGGTAAACGTGATGTTCAAGAAGCAAATTAGAGTAACCATGGAAGTCTATGTCGAACGACATCATGGTGAAGGGAAAGCAGCGATCAGACCACATTAGGTAAGTTGGTGGAAACTTTCGACATCTTTAGAAAGTACAAGATGAAGCTCAATCCCGCTAAATGCACATTTGGAGTATCTTCAGGCAGATTCTTATGGTACCTAGTAACCCAATGAGGAATCGAAGCACATGTTAAGCAGATTTGAGCAATCATAGAGATGAAGTCTCCAACTTCCTTGAAGGAGATCCAAAACTTGACTGGATGAGCAGCCACACTCAATCGCTTTCTCTTGCGGTCCATCGATTAATGCAAGCTTTTTTTCGAAGCTATCAAGAAGGCACAACAAGACAAATGGGATGATGAATGCGAAAGCATTTTCCAAGACCTTAAGAAGTATCTCACATCACCTCCCTTACTATCCAAGCCGGAAGCAGCGGAGGACTTATACATCTACTTGGCAGTCTCGGAAGTAGCAGTGAGCTATGCCCTCATACGAGAAGAACTGGGGGCTTAACTGTCGGTATTCTACACTTCTAAGGCTCTTCTCGATGCGGAAAATTAGGGAAGCGACACGGGGACTTTTGAGTAAAAAAAATAAAATTACCCTCGAGGCACACCACAATTCCCACGCACATGCAATGAACAATAAATGCTCAATCAAGGAGGAGCCAAAGGTGATCAAAATTGTATTTATTCAAAGCCCTCTCATCACTCCTCATCAAATTCTCACTCAAAAGGTAACTCTCAATTATCCTATTTAAATTAGGATTGATTACCAAGTTAATTACAAGATATTATTTCACATAATATCTTGCAATTAACCTCATAAAACCACCATAAGTGGCCAGTCCCTATTCTCCAAATAGGGTCGGCCACACCCTTATATATAGTCCAATTTCTCCACCAAAAAGTTAAGTTCATTCTCTCCTTAAAATTCCTTAAACACTTTCTCTCTCAATTCTAACTTTGGCATAGGAGATTCTTCGGCCAAAGCCCCCCCCACCCCAATTCATCATGGGCGCGTGAGGCTCTTGACCTTGATCTTAGGTGTTATTATTTTGCAGGTGCATTTTCATCAAAGGAGAGGGCAGTGGAAATTTGCATCCACAAAACCTAGTATATGGAGGGCAAGTGAGATCCTCTTAAGAGCTGAGTTTGAATGC